GGCGTCCATTTCTACCATAATATCTGTTATGAAATTTTGACAGGGAATCAGCTCATCTCGTAGCTGATCACTATCCGCCCCCTTTTCCCAGATTTTATTCAAATCAGCAACAGAATCACTCCTTTTCTTCGCTTTCAACCCGTAATCTTTCTTGCAATGATATGATGTTGAAAAAAAATAATAGCTTGGAGCTTTTTTCTCAGGCGAGACACTCTTTGTTGACTCTACGTGCTTCTTGCCTGAATGGAAGCTCGTTTCCTGTTGTTTATAATTAGAATAATTACATTCTGGGCAAGATATAAGTTCACGAGCGCAACTCTTGCGATGTCGAGCAGCATTGGTTCTTCTGTACTCTTTACCACAGTCTGGAAAATCTTTCTGCGGCAATACACACTTTGTTGACTCTGGGGCTGACATTACAGACGTCTTGCTTGAAAGAAATTTCATTTCCTGTTGGTTGTAAGTACAATAATTACTTTATGGGCAAAAAACAACTGCACGCCAAACATTGATTTCGAGCAGCATTGACTTTCATATATTCTTTGTCACAATCCTGGTATTTTACTTACTCATTCCTTTTGAGTGACGGCATCTGAAAAAAAGTGGGGAGAATTAGCTTGTGCCAAAAATATATGAAAGTACATGTACCTACAAAAACGAGAGATTTAAAAATTTGATACTGACTTGGAATTTTTCAGAACCTTTAGAAAATTTTTGAAGTTTTAATCTAAATCTAAATCTGGACCATCTACTCAAAAATCAACAATTTCTCATTGATTATGTATAAAATTATTTTAATAAGAAACAGTTTCTTGCACACACTGTTAGAGAAAACACATTAAAAAATTACTTTTTGGTTTTTTTTCAGTACAAAGTTAAACCGTTTTCGCATCTGGTCAAAAAAATTGAAACTTTTTTGAATTTTGCAGCAAAAAAAGGTTTAAAACTTTTTGGAAAAAAATGTGAAATATTTTTAAAATTTTACCAAAAAAATTGAAACGTTTTTTCTGCATCTTGTCAAAAAATTGAAACATTTTTTGCGTTAAAAAAATCAATTTAAACAAACACAGTTTTTGTAGAACAGAGTGAAAAATTTGTAGTATTTTGTAGACAAAAGGAAACACTTTTCCTTGTTGTCAGTAAATTGAAACATTTTTCGCATCTTGTCAAAAAAATGAAACAATTTTGGCTTTTGTTAGAACAAAAGAAGCACTTTCAAAATGTTGTAGAAGAATGTGAACCACTTTTAACATATTACGAAGTAAATTGAAACACTTTTCCCATTTTTTCAAAAAAATTGAAACAATTTTTGCATTTTGTCGAAAAAATTTTTTTCGCACTTTGTAGAAAAAATTGAAAGACAAAACAATTTACCAAAAAATATTAAAAACACTTTTCAAAATCTGTAGAAAAAATGAAATATTCTTAGCTTTTTGTCAAAAAATTAATTACAGTTTTTATTGAACTGTTAATAAATTTTTTAGAGACATTTTTTTTTTGTTCGAAATTTAATTATTAGAATAAATAATTCTTGTATGTATGTTCATCAAAAACAGAAAGGAAACATTGTTTTAATTTAATTAATCGCGGTCGAAGTCATCAATTTGGAAATTTTCTCAGCAAAAAGTCATCATGTTTACAAAAACTTTTGCGTTTTTCGCATTTTTGTTTGAAAGGTAAGCTGGTTTTTGCATAGTTTTGCATAGCACAAAAAAATCAAGAAATTTTTAAAACAATTGTTCCATTTTGCAAAATATTTTGGAACGTTTTACTGCATTTTTATTTGAAAATTCAAAAAAAATTTTGCACCTCATAAGAAACTGAATTAAAATTTTGCATTCGTTGATATTTGGCGAAAAAATAGTTCAAACTCTTCATCTTTCAGAATATTTGAGCGAGTTTGTGCACACGTAAAAACACTTACTCGATCTTTCATATTGAAAGGTATTTAAACTGTTTATAAACTTGAATTTGATAAGATATTTTTAAAAAAATTCAATTCCTGTTAGAAAAATTAGCTAAAAAAATTTAATTCCGGAGTCTGGGTTGAGTCTGGACAGAGCAATGAACGTGTCTTTTGATTTATTTGGGCAAAAAAAGTAATTCCAATAGAGAAAAAGACATCATTACGCACTAAATTTCATAGAACAGTGAAAGTTGTAGAAAATTGTACCAGAGTAAATTATGTCATAATGCGATAACTTTTGAAATGTTGGAATCTACACATAAACGCTTGGAAATTAAAAGAAATACTTACACATTAACTCTAAGAATCTTCTTACTACTGTAAATAACCATCAAAAATTCAGTTTTTCAGAAGAAAAAGTTTTTATCCAGGTGTTGAACTTGATGGAATAATTTCAACAATGAAATAATCAAAAATGAAAGACACTCAATCAAGGGCTTGATTACAATGAGTAGTTTTTCAAGAAATTCTTTTTTTTTCAGAAAACTTTCAAAATAAGCTTCAGGTCTAAAAGAGATATATTCTACAAAACATCTTTTAAGAACGAATATTTCAACTGATTTGATGGGACAAATTTTTTTTTTTCAATCAAAAAGACTGAATTGTTGAACAATTTTTGAACCAGTTCATGTAATGTTTTTTGATTAAGAGAATAAATGCAAAACCTACTGTTAGCTGGTAATAAGACACAGCTGAAAATAAAAAAACTCAATTTGATTGAAAATCTTTGAGAGTTCAGTTCCTTCTAATTCAACCAGCAATATGAATGATTCTGAACCCACAACAAACTTGGGTTACTGTCTGTTTTTGTAGGACTTATTAGAAACAGAATTAAATAGTGATTTTTCATTGTAAAATGATTGAAAGCTGTGAAGAGCTTGAATTATAGCAGCAGCCATCTGGAAGATTGGGTTCCGCAGAGAGATGTAGATATACGAAGGAGAAGTAACGCCTAACCAATTTCCCTAATGGACATTACCTACAAAACATTCCATATTGGATACAACTTCCATATGTGGGAACCATGATGACTCATACTGTTTACTTCCTTTTTCATCTTATCTCAAAATCATTTCTCACAATTCGCTCCATCTGGTCAGTTTGCTTGTCAACAATGTGCACCAAAAAAAAACACTAGTCCTTAATACATTGAATTTTCAAAAAATCAAAAGAAATTGGGAGAGAAATTTGATAAAAATTATATCTGTGAAAAACTTCATTCTACCATTTAGAATCAAAAAATGACAGAATTTTTCAAAAAGAAGGAAAATTCAAATCTGATTGGTTGACTTTGGACAAATCCATGATAAGTAAGTCTTGATTCAGATTGGATGATTGCAAGAAAAATTTTTCAAAATTGCACGACCAGTAAAGCTTGATTCTGACTAATTAATATTGAAGTTTTTGAAAAAATAAGATAATTAAAAGCTTGGTTTTGATTGCTTGGTATCAAAACGTTGGCACTTTACCTTAAGTGATTCATTTTGCCTTGCATTTTTATGAACTATTTTAGAGCCTGTGAACGAGTTCACGAAAAGCGCTTTTTTAAGCTGATAAAGAGTGTCTTATGTATCGTTAATTTTTTTAAACTGTGTGATAACCGACAGTTAAAAGTTGAAAGATTGGATACTTTCCAAATACTATTATACATAAGTCTCAACTGGAAATTCATTTCAAAACTTCAAGTTAAAAATCAAAACCAACATACAGTTTACTTGCTCAAAATTTTTTAATTAAAATATCTTAGCAAATGGAGTTTTTGGTGTGAAATTTGCTGAGAATTTTTAAAAGCTCGTTGACATTATGCAATTTTACGAGTATTTTTTTAATCAAAGGGAAATCCACCGGAAAATGGTGGATCAAGCAGAAACGAAGAAACAAGTTGAAGTATTTGACAGAAAAAAAACTAGAGTTTAGTTCTCTATAATTTTGAGGTCTTTTTTGTTCAGTTTAGGTTAAGAATAATACAGTTAGAAAAAATCCAGCATAAAAAGAGCCAAGTTTTGATATTTCGTGTAATGCATTGGAATTTTTGTAATTTATTGATCAATCAAAAAAATAATATTAAAATTCAGATGTTTCGAAGTAGAAAAGTCCAAGACATAAATCGAAGTAAGCCAAGACAAACATGTTTGGTGAATTGAAACATTTTCCTCATAATTATCTCTACTTTTTGTTAAAAGCAAGCAAAAATAGTTGCTATGGAAAAAATAGACAAAGCAACCATCAAAAAAATGTCATCAAGGAAAACATACAATAATTTTCCTAAAAAAACTTTAAATTTTTGATCAGAATGTTTTTTAAAGAAACTGGTAAGGTTTTATTGGAGTTTTCTGAGCAAACTGATTATTTTAGCAGTATAAGTATAAAAATCTCTTATATGATTCAGTATCTAACTTAAAGCAAACCAACGAGAAGCACTGTTATTTCGTGTTTTTGCACAGGCGTGCCTCAATTTCATATCAATCGGAAAATTAGAAACTAGAATTTTGTTAATCTTTGCTCTAGATTTTGCTTGAGATTTTTATTAAAAGAATGCTTAATTGAAGCAGTTTTGTGTCCATATTTTTTTGAGTTAAATTTCATAAAGAGTCTTCTGTTAGAATTAGGAAAAAACAGAAAAATAGAACAAGGTTTCATTGCAAATTTCTTTTTGTTTTTCAATTATAAAACTAAAAAAAACTGTCTACTATAAAAATTTCAGATAAAATTCCAAAAGAAAGACTAACTAGCGTTTTTTGTGGCGGTGTACCACCTGTCATAAACTTCACTGCGGCTTTGAGTTTTATAACATTTAGTTATCCTAACGAGCCGTAAATCTTCTCTAATTACGTTTTGCCGCATGCAAGCCAACTAGCACAGCGGATTGATCAGTATGTTGCGAACAATGGAAGCCTCAATGAACTCCGGATCAACGCTGGCGGCCCAACTCTCAGCAATGAGAGCGGCTCTGACAGCGAGGAACGAGAAGAAAAAGGAAAAAAAACAGCGAAGTTCATTCATTATCTAAGCCGAAAGAATTGTAAATTAGCCTAATTGTTGTGATAAACTTATTAAATAGAAATAGTTTCATATTTTGAGTATGCGAACCAGACGTGCAGACTCAGTATCCACAACGGATGTTGTCACAACGGATAGCGGAAACTGTGCGAAATGCAAGAAGACTGGAGAACCTGGATCACAATGGATACAGTGCGACATTTGTGATGAGTGGTTTTACAATGCCTGTTGCAGTCTACCACCTGATCTTATCCCGCAAATTCCAAAGCTAAATTACTGTTATTCAGATGCAATATTTGTTTATCAAAGAAAGCTTTACCTGTTTCTCATGTTACTGTTCAACATGCTATCAAGGAAGCTCTTTCAGAGTTACCTAATACTGTTGATAAATTAGTGAAGGACAACTTATCTACTACTTTACCTGCTGTTAACACTCCGTCAAGAGTATCTACTGAGAAACTTGAACGCAAACTTGAATTCGCATTCAGAACCTTCCTGAACCAACTGATAATACACAGTTGAAAAGGATGGAGTCTGATGAAAACCTTGTATCTGATGTACTTAAGCATTTGAAGGAGTGGGATCGATATAATGTATCCTCAATTAAGCGTTTGGGTCAATCAAATCCACTAATACACGACCTCGGTCTGTTTTGGTGAAAATTTTTAATGAATGGAGTGCTAGCAAAGTTCTGAAAAAAGCACAACTTCTCAAAGAATTTCGCTCACCAGTGTTTATATCAAAGTCTCTAACAAGTGATGAACTTGCATTGGTAAAACTAATTCTCAAGAAACGCTGGGAATTAATCAATAGCGGAACTCCGAAGCAAGATTTGAAAATTCGGAATTTACAACTCTTTCACAAAGACATTGTCGTGGATATTACTGCATGACTGACCAGTGTAACAGTTTTATCTTGGAATGCTCGTAATTTGGTCAGCCTTGACAAACGTTTATCCTGTATCAAACTTTTACATATCATGTCTCCTGATGTTTTGTGTTTATGCGAAACTTGGTTAAGCTCCAATGACACAAATATTTTACCTAATACAGGTTATTACACAAATTCACAAGCTGCCCGAAAAAATGGCAATCACGGCGGAGTTGCAATACTTGTGCGTGATGGTTTGAACCTGGCGGCTTGGGACTGCACTTTACCTGATTTTGATTTTGCTTGCGGCACTGTCTTAAGTACAGATCCTCATATCCTTATCTTATCGGTTTATAATCCCCCCGCCACATCAAATTATAGAGTATCATCCACACATTTATCTCAGTGTCTGGAGTTATACACTTCAAAGTTTCTGCATGATTTTCCCTGTGGTATTATTTCTATTTTTGGTGATTTCAATATGCCAGACGCGTGTTGGATATCTCCCTCTGCCACTACCGCTAGTTCACAGGCTGTGATCGACAATTTCGATTCATTGAATTGTGTCCAACTAGTGACTGAGCCGACGCATATTAGCGGCAACACGCTAGATATTTTTGTTACAAATCAACCTGAACGGTTCTCAGTGATTGTGGAACCAGACCATTTTACATCCGATCATTATCCTGTTACATTTATTTTCCATGTGTCTAATTCTGAAAGCATCACTTCTGATTTACCTAATGACATTCCAATTTATTCTAAAAACACTTTTAACATCGATGTTTTCATGAATTCTTTAGTTATATTTGATTGCTTTTTCCAAGTTTATTTTCAAATGATTCCCACTGATTTTTATCTTGCGTGTCATGATGCTATGATAAAGTCGGTTCAGACTTCTATTTGCCTGAAACGCAAGAAAAGATCTATGTTTCCATTCTATTTTTCTAGCCATTCCGTACATCTCATTAACAAAGTCTCTACTGAGAAGCGTAAATTGGCGAAATTCAATTTGCTCTATTCGACATTGTTGGCTGATCTTCAATGAGATTTGAATAACTCGATTGAGCTAGACAAAATTACATTACTGTCTTCTTTTCATTCACTTGATACTAACGACTGTTTCAAGTTACTTCACAAACTTTCTGGCAGCACACCAATTCCTTCTATTGTTAAATTGGGAGCCTCATGTGCTTCTACTGATAACACCAAAGCCGATTTGTTTAATATCTTTTTCTGTTCTGTGTACAAAAGCGAAACGTTTACGTATAACGGTTGTTCTGATAATACTTCAATTAACTTGCGCGGTTTTGATTTTCTTCCAGACAAAATTAAATTCGTTCCAAACAATAGCTTTATTTTCAACCTTATCATATCAAAGACTTGGGTATTTATATCTCGGCTACTTTGGCTTGGAATCACCATGTTTCTGCGAAACTTAAGAAAGCCACAAAGTGTTTTCATTATTTAAAGCGTAATGTTCCTTTCAACTCACCTCTTAAAACTAAGCTTCAAATGTACATTTCTTGTGTGAGGTCCATTTTACTTTATAACTCTTGTATTGGGTACCCAAATTTATCAAAGCTACGTGATTTGGAAAGATTCCAGAAAAAGGCAGTAAAGTGGATAATTTGTTCCACTAATTATACTGACAGTCTTGTGATGTTAAACATACTGCCTATTTGCTATCAAATCGTTTTAACTGATTGTCTTCTCTTGTTCAAACTGTTACATAACTGTTACGACTTCGATATTAATGACTATGTTACTGTTAGTGACTCGAGACCGGGTAACAGATCCAGTCAGAGAATGGTATTCTCTGTACCTCTTACCCGCAAATTCTGTTCCCTTGGGAGCTTTTTCCAAAAAACAATTCATAGCGTCAATAGTGTTTTAGCAAAAGTCGACATCAATGCTACAACTACAGTCTCACAAACCAAGACTCTACTCTTCAATTTCCTTAAACAGCAACTTCAATCAACCTTCAATCTCGACAATCCATGCACTTTCTTCATCAAATGTCGTTGCAACACATGAACAATTTAACTCAAAGCTTGAATTACGCAAACTCAAAATTTCACTTTTATATGTAGTATCATTCTCTAATAAAGTTTATTTTTTCTTCTTCTTCTTCTATCTCCTAATAAATATTTTTTTTGCATGCCACAATTGTAATCCTAGTAATTTGTTACTAATTCCCACAAAAATAAATGTTTTTTTTTTGCATGCAACAATTGTAATTCTAATAATTTGTTACTAATTCCCACAAAGTAGTGTCAGCCTTAAGTTAGAAGGCCAGTCCAAAGCCTAAGTTGCATTGATTTTTAGGTAGATCAAAATATCCCTCATGGCCGAGCGACTAAGACTTGTCGACTAGTCCCACACAACAAACAGCAAGGTTCGATCTCCGCAAGAAATCTACTTTTCGTTTCCATACACCCCGAACACTGGAAAAAACAAACCGAAAGAAACAAAACCTGCTAATTACAGATTTCGGGATAAAGTTCTGGGCGCTCTTCCGTAGCCTAGCTCAACTCGACATAGGCACGACCGGTATGAATTCAAAGCATGACCGTTTCAGATTTATCAAAAGTCGTGGAGTATCAGGAACCTTGGTTTCCCTTTGTTAAAATCCCTTTAGGAATTTTTTTTGACAATTAAAAGCCCCCGAAAAAGCCCTGATCGTTTGAAAAACATCATCACCATATTATGGAACTTACAAATATATATCCTTTAGCTGTAGTTTTGTAATTTACCTTGCAGAAAACAGATCGTTTTGGACGAACCGAGAAAAGATTGGTGTAAATAAGGGTTTATACTAGCAACAAGATGGACTGTTAGTAATAACACCAAGATAATAGTAACATGGGGCAAACGGACTCGGGGGTTCACGATTCAGCCGCGCTTTCTTTGATGTGAAAATTTTCAACCCCCATGCCAAAACATCGCGAAAACTGCATAAGGATGCATACAAATACCACGAAACGCTGAAGAACTCCAAATATCAGCAAAGAATTTTAAACGTAGAGCAGAGTAGCTTCTGCCCGCTAATTTTTGGATGCACCGGTGGCGCTGCTCCAACAGCCACGCGAACGATGCATCGATTGGCCGAAAAACTAAGTGAAAAAAGACAAGAAAGCTATCCAGAATCTATAAACTACATAAGAACTAAAATAAGCCTCGCGCTCCTGAGGAGCTCTATACTTTGTATAAGGGGGTGCAGATCGCTACGCAAAGTTCAATTTATCGACAACTCCATAAGCGCTATTGTAGAGGAAGGACGGCTAAGATAAATTAACATTACGACGATGCATTTAATGCTGATTTGTGACTTCATTGCTGATATATATGCATTTTTATATCGCTGGTATGGCCCTATCCAGCTTGTGCACTTACCGTAACTAAACGGAAGGGCCCCTTTTGTAATTTAGTTTTCAAAAAAAAAGATAATAGTAACATTATAGAACTAGTTCGCAAGAAAAAACTTTTTTTGGTCAGCAAGCTGTTGAAACTATGCAAGTTTGGAATAGTTGAGCTCATCGCTTTAAGAGCTTGCTTGAAAAGTCAACTGTTCGCGGTCCGGTTTATTTTATTCCTACAACATGAAATACTTCAAAGTTGTTGTTGATGGACTGAACCTGTTTGAAAAAGTCTGGTTTAGTGCAAGTTGTTTCGGTTGTCAATAACAATGTTTTCCAACAGGTGATTGAAAGGATGAAGAGGAAAATATCTGCTCGTTTTGTAATAAATTTTTTCAGAGCGCTAAAGTGATTTTTTTAAACCGAAAGATTGCTTACTATTTTTTATGCTTTTCAAAAACCGATTGTTTTAATTTCTGAAAAAAAACCATATCCATTTCCATTGTCAAACAAATATTGTTATCAACTAAATTTGTAAAATTCTGAATTGATTGTGAAGTTTGCATGCTTTTGGTAAGCTTAGAATTCCTGCTGCCTTGAAATTCAGGTATTTGACCTGCTACCTAGAAATTTTCCGTCAAGTTAAGTTTAAACTATTAGACAATTGCGTTCCCTTTAAATTGGGAAAGCCTTTTTGAAATTCTAACAATGCAATAACCTGAAAGCAGATGCAGATATATCTATCATACTTGCGCTAACTCACCTTGCGATGATTCTTTATCGATTCAAAATTGCTCACAATTTCAGACCAGAATGGACAACGATGAAGAGGGTTTCATCAATTTCAAAGTTACTTCGGACGATCTAGAGTTCGAATTAGATCCCCGAAGTTCGCGTAGGCAAACAAAGGATGAGGCTATCTATGGTAGGCCGCATTTGTCATTTCTTGTTAAATCGGATAGCACTCGTTACATCTGTCGAGAGATAGCTCTAAATCTTGAGAATCAGTTTTCATTCCTAAAATCCATGTTCAAGGTATCTGGGCTCGTGACGAAGAAAAAAGACAGAAATACTCAAAATCAGCTTTCAGTTCTGGCATCAATTTTGTCAGTGGAGGTGTCTCGGAACCCAAGGACATTGAGGTATATTTGAATGAAAATGATATTCCAAATATTTCGATTCCCAGAACTTTTTTAAGTTGCTTAAATCCAGGCAGGTAATTCAGATGAAGCCGCCGATGACAATAAGGATGATGTGATTACTGATTCTGAAAATGACGAGGACGATTTTCGACCAGCTTCGTCTTCGCTCAGACCGGAAAGCAATGCAAAAGATGACCAGCAGAGGCGAGCATTTGGTGCAGTTACATCTCAAACTGCGTATAGAGCCTCAAGAGAGTTTGGTAACTGGCAAAAATACACAAAAGGAATCGGGTACAAGCTGCTAGACAAGGTAATTCAGTGCTCATCAGAATTAAGTTTCTGAAAGCCTCAGCAAGGTTGCAGGGTCATTTATTGAAATGTTTTAGATGGGGTACATACCCGGAAAAGGTTTAGGTAGAAGCAATCAAGGTATTGTCAATCCAGTGGCTGCCAAAAAGCGAAAGGGGAAAGCAGGAGTAGGAGCGAATGGACCCGAGAGAGAAAACGAGGAGGAAGATTTTGTAACCGACGCTGGTGGCCGACAACAACCGAACCAGATGGCAGCGTCTGCCAATCAAAAACGGCAATGGAGGAAAACCAAAGCGGTATTATCTTGCGATTTTCTAATCAATTAAAATTAATTTCCCATTTATTTTTTTTTGCGCATCAATATCAGCAATACTTTTCAGATCTGCAAATGTGTAGCTCAATTTATATACTTGTTATGGCAAAGCTGTGTTAAATTACTGTAATTATTTAAGGGTGAAAAGAAGGCAAACTACAAGTTTGTAACTGTTGACGATTTGAGGCGGAAAGCATTGACGACAAAGACAGCTGATTTCAGTGCTCTAGGAAATGTAAAAGTCATTGACCGAACGGGACCTGAAACCAAATATCTGCATGGTATGTATAGTTGAAGTTGCTTAAACTTTAAAAAAAATGACTTAAGGTGTATTGCCTCAGGTTTTTCTTGTTATAATTGTACTTGTGATTACCACAGATGTGATTGCCACAGCAACCGGACTGTACGGCAAATTTTTAAAAGATCAAAGAACGATTTGTAGAGGCAAATCTTTATTTAATCACTTAGAAATGAAATGGAGCTTTTTTCTTGTTCCATATGTACAGTCACATTTCCTTGATAGGATATCTTACGCTTGCGATTAGCAAGTGTTATCAAACTGGAATCTAAACTTTTTCGTGTAACAACTAGTTTAACAGAATCACTTGAATCATTTTACCTTGGGTTCATATGAATTCATAAGCGAGATGTTAATGCGCGAAAGTGGCGAAGACGTAAGGTTCCTGCCTGTAAAGTCAATGGTTTGAATCTGGACTGGATCTGTTTTTTTTTGTAAGAAAATTTTTGTCGGACTTCTGTTTGTCAGCTTAGTTGCCGGAGCACCAGATTTGCCTAGAATTTTGGCATGTTTTACTCAAATTGAAAAACATGTCAGTCTATTCCGGTTTTGGCCAAGTAATTGAGTTCCAAGAATTTAGGCTATTTTTTCCCCTATTTTTTTTGATTTTTTTTATGCTGTTCATTAAAAAATTTTCCTAAGTTGTTTTCTTTGTAGTTTCAAGTAGTGTTCGGCTCTTTTCCACTTCTTCTACCTTAAAGTATCGAGTTTGATGTTTGTTTTACGTGTTATTACGGCTAAATGCGCGATGTTACGATGTAAGGTATGAAGAAAAAATCTGTTCACAGTTGTCGATTTGTTCACCACGCCACATTTAATTGCATTATGACAACGTTTAATAAATTTTAAATTGAATTGGAAAAAGGGGGAACTGGAGAAGATTCTAGTGTTCTGTGCATTTAGTGCAGTGGCAACACTTATGCTTGAGACTGCAGATCCCACAAGTTCGATTATTTTGTCGAAAAAAGTTTCGAATTTTTTGATTTTCATGGCTGCTAATTTTTGTCAGCTTAGGTCCGGAAGAAAGGTTTGGTTTTTTTAAGCATTTTGAAAGCTTTTTGTAAAGTTTCTAATGGTGCAGGTAAATATGTTTCAGGAATTTATTGTCTTTTATGAATTTTTTTTGGTTTTTACGTTTTTTTAATTTCCAATTTTTGATTTGTCTTTTCTTGTGCTGATAACTGTAGTCATAGATTTTTATATCCCAAGTGATGCGAAGCTCTACTTCGCGTATGTGTTCTAAAAGTTTAAAACTGACCCCTAGCTTTGGATAAATTTTGGTTGATGAGTTAAGGATATGATGAACTGGCACGTCAATACAAGCGGCCTGCAAGTGACGATGAGCTATCAGATGGAGAGATTGAGAGTGCGAGATCGGGATTTGGAGCTCAAGCCAGGATGCCGACTCCATTTGGTGTGAAGTCTGCCTTCCATATGCCTGAGCTGATGCACAATATCAACAAAATAGTTGAATCAGTGGAACAGCAGATAATTAAAGCGGACCAAACGTAATTAAAACTTTTTTATGGTAGATTTAGAAAGGTTGCGGGTTACTGTATCGTCCTATGTTTACACAAGCAAAGCTTGGGTTGTAGTATGAACTCTCTTTTTTCTAACCTAAATCGCAAATATTGTTGCGACAAAATGTGTGCATTTTGATCAATAACCAGCTATTAAGTATTAAGTACAGCCAATGCTAAGGATATTACGACAGACTATTATATTACACATATCACTTTAGCTTCAAGGTATCATCGATCTGTGGCGTAGATGTAGCGAAGGAGATCCGCTACTAATTAAAAGTTTCGAACCTGGGCAGGGTCGGATGTTTTGATGGATACTCGTATACTAGTTAAAATGCATCCGCTCTAAAAATTGAGGCATTCTAGTTGGTAATTTTTTTTTCAGTTTGACTGCTAATGCGTCATAATTGGCTTGCGTCACTTAGCAATTATGTAGACTGATAATTGGCGTGCGTCACTTGAGACATTTTAGACATTTTGTAGACTCAAAGTTTTACCCATTCAGTTTTTCCCAGTAGCGTTATCGGTAATATTTTTGCTTGTGTGTGCAAAGTGCAACTTCGCCTCTGTGTTGACTTCAATTTGAAAATACAAAATGAAAATTAAATGGCTTACTTGAAGTTAATTAGATTAGCATCTCAAGATTTCGAGTTTTCTAATGCCAACACCTTTTCTGTTAAAAATTTCCTACGCTACTAGCTAATATCAATAGTATTTTCTTGGAATCGATTTGTAGATCAAATTTAATTCAGTATAACATTGGTGGGATTGTAGCTCACTTTTTGTAAGTACCCTTGTGATAAGCAAGGGTATTGCAATCATGTACTAGGCTTTTTCCCCGTTAATAACTTAGTTCCCAGAGTGGTGAATTTAGTAGGAATGGTAAACGTCACGTCTGACATGCTCAATTCCTAATAAATATTCAAATGAAACTACTATCAATTTACTAGTAATTAGATAAAGTCCGTTTCAGGTTTGAAATGTTTTTTCAAAAAAAAATCTGGAAATTTTTCAGGTTCGTGGTTTTCGTCCTAGGTTCTGTCGGTTCTTCCGTTTTTTGAAACGTCATTTTTCATCTGGTAAAGTTTCAATTTCCTAAAGAATGGTTTTGGATCCAATTTAAACAGTTTTTTAGTCTAACTGAAAGTTAGTAAATTTTACCTTTACCAAGTCTGATTTTGGGTATTTTTTTGTTTGTTTTCAAACTTTCAGTTCATGTTATATCGGCTTGCCCCACGTGTATTGCGTAATTACGAGGTAAAATATTTTCTCATGCGATTGTGTTTCAAAATGGAAGAATGGATGGGTCGGAAAAACTTTCAAAAACTTTATGACATCAGTTTTGTTTTCGGCTCAACACGTTTCGACGCAAGAGTTGTTGCCGCTTGGTTAATGAATTCCAATTCTTTTAAAGGCTTTTCATGAACTTCATCCTATACAATCACGAAGTTTTTATAGCTGTGGTTTTAAAAAAATATATGTAAAAATGAAAATCGTATTTCAGAGCGCTTCGAAGCGAAGATAAAATAGCACATTTGAGATACGAAGAAGATCGTCTGTCGACACAATTTAACGAAGAAGCAGACGAAATAAGTCGTCTTTCGGAAGTGATTGAACGACTCAAAACTCTTGAGAGTCAGTCGCGATTCGGAGGCGAAGATGGAAATCTGTCATTCAAAGACTTGACTGACAAATTCGTGGGCGTGAAGCAACAGTTCCCCACAGAGTTTGTGTTGTACGAGTTGCATAATTTTACAATTGCTCTTGTTTTTCCGAAAGTACGTCCTCTTAGACAAGTATAATTGATTTGATTTATTTTCAAAAAAAACGTGAGCCTAATAAGTTGATGGCTGAGAAAATCAATAATGAAATTAACGAAAACAGTTCTTCGTAAATTTATCTAAACACTTAGTGAACTTAAAATCTCGGTTCCAATTTTCTACTCTGGCCTTGTTTATTTGTTTTGTTTCGAATTTGAATGTGAGAACCCTTTTTATGAATTAAATCAAAGGTTTAGCATACGCGAGTTTTGTATCTGAGGGAGAAGATCTGGAATTTAAATACCTTTTTGGCCCTTCTGATAATTGATATTTAAATTGAGCTGTCCGAAGCAATTCCTAATAGAACCAGATAGTGAAATTTTGTGATTGTTTTCAGGCAAAAGTGGAGATTAACAACTGGGACATGTCTGCAGAATCGCCATCAGACTGTGTGGGTCCAGTGAAAGAGTTTGAAGCCTGGAAAGATATTTTGAAGGACAACAAGAACTCGCAGAATATATATGCTCATATGATTTGGGATATATGGATGCCAAAAGTCAGAAGATATATTCTGTAAGCTGATATTTTTTAAAGCGATGCGATAGTGTTTCTTTAGGAACTATGGGGTAGAGTGTTTTTTTTTCTATTTCAATTACCTCAAAGGAAGCTCATAGAGGGTCAAGTATGATATCTTACGATAGAACATTTCAACAGTGATTCGGATTCCGGAAATTAGAAAAATTGTCAGTCTCGAGAAAAGTTGGTTTGAAATTTTCTGGTTTTCAAACTAATTTAACAGTCTGAAAAACTAGAAAGTGGAGAATAAAGAGAGAGAGTAAGCTTGATATCTAATTTTAATGCGTTTTAACGCTTTAGCTATGATAAACTAATTCTAGCAGATTTATATCCAATTGAACCCCCTCTCACCGATAAAAAAATTTTAGTTTTTTTTTCTGTTCATTAAGAGTTGATGAACATAGTTCAGACTCTTGTAGAGGTCGCAATGATTTTTTTTAAAGTCTTAAAATTTGTTCAGGATCAAATATACTTTATCGCGGTTTGACGTTTATTTTTTTTAAGCTCAGTTGATTTCATTTCTTAAAAGCTCAGTTGAGCTCAGCTGATTTCCTTCCTCCACAATTGAACAGCGAAAGTGTAAAGGTCTCGAAAAACGTGATGGCTTCTAGTTGCAAAAATGGAATTTAATTTTCAGATTTCCAAGCGAAATGGAAAAATTGTCTATTGATCCAGTTTTCTCAAATCGGATCAATTTTGCCGAAAATGTGCCACTCATAAATTGATCTAAAATTTCAAAGAGCTTTAATGGCGTCTGTTTTTTTTTCTTCCAAATTCGAAAGTTTTCAAAAAACAAGTCCGTCGTATTTTTTTCCGGTTTACTTGCGTTCATTGACTCTTTTACTACTGTCTGTTGGCTATATTCTTTTAGTTGCTTCCTGTGTATAACTGTTGTCGGAATATTTTGGGCCTCTGGTATAGCAACCTGCTTTCTATCGCCTCGATGTTTAAAATGTGAAAATTTTGTTCTTATGTGACCATAGTTGAATCATATAGACGAACTGATCTTTGAGTTTAGATCAAACTCAATTCGTTCAAGTGAGCGTCTCATAGAAATTCTTGAAGCATGGTCACCATTGTTGCCCAAAAACATATTCATCAACATCGTGGAACAGTTTCTCATTCCGAGGCTTCAAGAAGCCCTGGATTCATGGAACCCAGTTTCGGATACAGTTCCAGTTCACTCCTGGATCCACCCCTGGTTGCCGCTTTTGGGCGACAGATTGCAACCTTTGTTTGTGACTATCAGAACTAAGTTGGCCCAATGTCTCGTTAACTGGGATCCGACGGACAGAAGCGCGAAGATGATCATCGAACCTTGGAGGGATGTGTTTTCGAAGGGAGAGATGGAAGCATTCCTGATTAAAGCGATTTGCCCTAAGTTGAAGATGGCTCTTCACCTAATGCCACTGGACAATACTAGTTCTGGAATCGGTTTGTAATTGAATAGCTGGTTTTGTAACTTTTCATTTGCTCGCAATTTTTTGACCGAACGGTTTGCTTGTTGGATTGATTCGCTTGTTCATTATCAATTTCATGCTTGATACAAAATTAAGTTTTGATAGTATGCTAAAATTGGCGTGAGGTACTTCTTTATATTTTACTAATCAAGGTGCCAAATGATTTTCATTTAAAGTGTTTTGTATTAATTTAAATAGAAAATTCCTTGAGGTTGAGTGAGCTGTTAAATTATTTCCAGCTTTAATAGAGATTGAAGTTCGATTAATAAATTTAAGTTGTAAGAAGAATTATGACTATGTATTGCAAAATTAGTCTCCTAGTTTTTCTGAAAATTCTTGCGGTTTTTGTCTCTGCATGCAATTTTAAATTGAGTATCCGACGATGAATTTGTTTAAGAACTGCTTCGATCTGTGTTGATCTGGCACGACCTCCTCTCTCTGCACCAGTTGAGTCAGATATTAGTGGCTCACTTCTTCCCCAAATGGATCCAGTGTCTCTGCGTCTGGCTGTCTAACCAGCCCAACTTCGATGAGGTGGAGAAATGGTACAGAGCATGGCGGAATGAGTTCCCTATTCAACTTCTAGCTCTCAACGAAACCAAAGGTCACTTTCATTCAATTTGTGACCATAAAAGCACACTATTAACAGGCTCAAATGACAAGTTTCTTCTTCTTTGGACAGTTTCAAAGAAATTAAGATCCAAATAGGTGGCCCTTCTAGGCGAAGCGAATTTTTCATATTTGTATGATTTTTTTTTCTGTAGGCTTGGGTTTCTATTCGAGGTTGTCATTAATAAATTTCGCTTTGAGATATTAGAGCAAGTATTCGCTACCCTACTATGGCAATGAATGTGCGGGAGGACGAGCTCTCACTTCACCTATATATTCAGTTCTACCAAAGCATAATTACTCAAGCTAAGCGTAGTGTATTATTACCAAGATTTTTAAAAAAGCTAAGTCGCAAGTAAAAGTGTTCATTTGGTGGTACTTTTGGTATATTTCAATTTAATCATATCTAAGCTTATTTATGCGTAAATAATTTAATGGAATATGTTGCTGCTTTATTTTTGGCTAGTGCTATGTCCTGTTTGAAAACAACATTTACTATGAAAATGTATGGGATTTGGTGTTTTTCGTTTTTTTTTGCGACGCTTTGGAAAGTTTTTGGACTTTTCGCAGAAATTTCAGTTTTTCTCAAACACTACTTTACCGATTTTCAAAAAAATGGTTAAAATAGAAAACCGGCTCTTGTGCCAGCATATTCTCAAAAAAATGGTTAAAATAGAAAACCGGCTCTTGTGCCAGCATATTCTCGAAAGTTTCACTTGGCCTATTTGTTTTGAGTTTTTTTTATTTTCTCAAGAATTAAATGCACAATTCTGAGATGAGGGGTTCAATCAAAAGAACAAGTTATGTGGATCTCCCTTTCTTAAGCGGCTATTCCTTAAATTCGGTAGAAAAAAAATGTATGGCCTCAAACAAGCCCATTTTTTGACATTTTGATTAATTTTAAAACTTTGACTTCTCAAATCTACCCTGCCAAATCAGTGATAAAGGGCTTAACCGAAAGAAGAAAATCAATTATGCGAATTTTAACTGCACAAGCGGCTATGCCCTGTGTTTTTGAAAGAAAAATATGGCCTTAGAAAATGTCCAAATTTTGAAATTTGCCCGTTTTGTCTTACGTTACTTTTTCAAAAACTAACCTACTGATTCCGAGGTCGATAGTTCATTAGAACTTAGATTTCCCTGAGTAATCTGTTTTAACCTGTTTTTTTTTTTGTTGAAAAGCTGATATGGACTTTGAAAAAGTTCCTTTTTAATTTTTTATTGTTTTTGATAGAAGTTTCGTCAATTCTCGAAAACTACTTGCTAAATCTCATATTAAGGCCTTAATTCCCATGCTTTAGTAGAGAAAAGTTTATGAACTTAGGAAAAATAAACTTTTTGATCAATTTTTGGAATCTTTCTCACTTTTTTTTTGAAAACTACCGAGCTAAATTCTGAGATCAAAACTTCAATTGAAAGCGCGAGTATTAGATTTCTTTAAATTAGCTGTTTATCCCCTACCTAAGCAGAGAAACAAGAGTTTAGTGTCAAGTCCATTTTTTGAAATTTTTAAATTTACGCATTTCTGTATCAGTAGAATATATGATTAAAGATATTATAACTGGTAGATTCAGCATAAACAGGTAGATTCAGCATAAGCAGATGCGAGGACGTGAGACTCCTAACAACGTGTCGGATATTCAAATCAGGAATATTTAAAAAGTTTGTAGACTGATAATTGGCGTGCGTCACTTGAGACATTTTAGACATTTTGTAGACTCAAAGTTTTACCCATTCAGTTTTTCCCAGTAGCGTTATCGGTAATATTTTTGCTTGTGTGTGCAAAGTGCAACTTCGCCTCTGTGTTGACTTCAATTTGAAAATACAAAATGAAAATTAAATGGCTTACTTGAAGTTAATTAGATTAGCATCTCAAGATTTCGAGTTTTCTAATGCCAACACCTTTTCTGTTAAAAATTTCCTACGCTACTAGCTAATATCAATAGTATTTTCTTGGAATCGATTTGTAGATCAAATTTAATTCAGTATAACATTGGTGGGATTGTAGCTCACTTTTTGTAAGTACCCTTGTGATAAGCAAGGGTATTGCAATCATGTACTAGGCTTTTTCCCCGTTAATAACTTAGTTCCCAGAGTGGTGAATTTAGTAGGAATGGTAAACGTCACGTCTGACATGCTCAATTCCTAATAAATATTCAAATGAAACTACCATCAATTTACTAGTAATTAGATAAAGTCCGTTTCAGGTTTGAAATGTTTTTTCAAAAAAAAATCTGGAAATTTTTCAGGTTCGTGGTTTTCGTCCTAGGTTCTGTCGGTTCTTCCGTTTTTTGAAACGTCATTTTTCATCTGGTAAAGTTTCATTTTCCTAAAGAATGGTTTTGGATCCAATTTAAACAGTTTTTTAGTCTAACTGAAAGTTAGTAAATTTTACCTTTACCAAGTCTGATTTTGGGTATTTTTTTGTTTGTTTTCAAACTTTCAGTTCATGTTATATCGGCTTGCCCCACGTGTATTGCGTAATTACGAGGTAAAATATTTTCTCATGCGATTGTGTTTCAAAATGGAAGAATGGATGGGTCGGAAAAACTTTCAAAAACTTTATGACATCAGTTTTGTTTTCGGCTCAACACGTTTCGACGCAAGAGTTGTTGCCGCTTGGTTAATGAATTCCAATTCTTTTAAAGGCTTTTCATGAACTTCATCCTATACAATCACGAAGTTTTTATAGCTGTGGTTTTAAAAAAATATATGTAAAAATGAAAATCGTATTTCAGAGCGCTTCGAAGCGAAGATAAAATAGCACATTTGAGATACGAAGAAGATCGTCTGTCGACACAATTTAACGAAGAAGAAGACGAAATAAGTCGTCTTTCGGAAGTGATTGAACGACTCAAAACTCTTGAGAGTCAGTCGCGATTCGGAGGCGAAGATGGAAATCTGTCATTCAAAGACTTGACTGACAAATTCGTGGGCGTGAAGCAACAGTTCCCCACAGAGTTTGTGTTGTACGAGTTGCATAATTTTACAATTGCTCTTGTTTTTCCGAAAGTACGTCCTCTTAGACAAGTATAATTGATTTGATTTATTTTCAAAAAAAACGTGAGCCTAATAAGTTGATGGCTGAGAAAATCAATAATGAAATTAACGAAAACAGTTCTTCGTAAATTTATCTAAACACTTAGTGAACTTAAAATCTCGGTTCCAATTTTCTACTCTGGCCTTGTTTATTTGTTTTGTTTCGAATTTGAATGTGAGAACCCTTTTTATGAATTAAATCAAAGGTTTAGCATACGCGAGTTTTGTATCTGAGGGAGAAGATCTGGAATTTAAATACCTTTTTGGCCCTTCTGATAATTGATATTTAAATTGAGCTGTCCGAAGCAATTCCTAATAGAACCAGATAGTGAAATTTTGTGATTGTTTTCAGGCAAAAGTGGAGATTAACAACTGGGACATGTCTGCAGAATCGCCATCAGACTGTGTGGGTCCAGTGAAAGAGTTTGAAGCCTGGAAAGATATTTTGAAGGACAACAAGAACTCGCAGAATATATATGCTCATATGATTTGGGATATATGGATGCCAAAAGTCAGAAGATATATTCTGTAAGCTGATATTTTTTAAAGCGATGCGATAGTGTTTCTTTAGGAACTATGGGGTAGAGTGTTTTTTTTCTATTTCAATTACCTCAAAGGAAGCTCATAGAGGGTCAAGTATGATATCTTACGATAGAACATTTCAACAGTGATTCGGATTCCGGAAATTAGAAAAATTGTCAGTCTCGAGAAAAGTTGGTTTGAAATTTTCTGGTTTTCAAACTAATTTAACAGTCTGAAAAACTAGAAAGTGGAGAATAAAGAGAGAGAGTAAGCTTGATATCTAATTTTAATGCGTTTTAACGCTTTAGCTATGATAAACTAATTCTAGCAGATTTATATCCAATTGAACCCCCTCTCACCGATAAAAAAATTTTAGTTTTTTTTTCTGTTCATTAAGAGTTGATGAACATAGTTCAGACTCTTGTAGAGGTCGCAATGATTTTTTTTAAAGTCTTAAAATTTGTTCAGGATCAAATATACTTTATCGCGGTTTGACGTTTATTTTTTTTAAGCTCAGTTGATTTCATTTCTTAAAAGCTCAGTTGAGCTCAGCTGATTTCCTTCCTCCACAATTGAACAGCGAAAGTGTAAAGGTCTCGAAAAACGTGATGGCTTCTAGTTGCAAAAATGGAATTTAATTTTCAGATTTCCAAGCGAAATGGAAAAATTGTCTATTGATCCAGTTTTCTCAAATCGGATCAATTTTGCCGAAAATGTGCCACTCATAAATTGATCTAAAATTTCAAAGAGCTTTAATGGCGTCTGTTTTTTTTTCTTCCAAATTCGAAAGTTTTCAAAAAACAAGTCCGTCGTATTTTTTTCCGGTTTACTTGCGTTCATTGACTCTTTTACTACTGTCTGTTGGCTATATTCTTTTAGTTGCTTCCTGTGTATAACTGTTGTCGGAATATTTTGGGCCTCTGGTATAGCAACCTGCTTTCTATCGCCTCGATGTTTAAAATGTGAAAATTTTGTTCTTATGTGACCATAGTTGAATCATATAGACGAACTGATCTTTGAGTTTAGATCAAACTCAATTCGTTCAAGTGAGCGTCTCATAGAAATTCTTGAAGCATGGTCACCATTGTTGCCCAAAAACATATTCATCAACATCGTGGAACAGTTTCTCATTCCGAGGCTTCAAGAAGCCCTGGATTCATGGAACCCAGTTTCGGATACAGTTCCAGTTCACTCCTGGATCCACCCCTGGTTGCCGCTTTTGGGCGACAGATTGCAACCTTTGTTTGTGACTATCAGAACTAAGTTGGCCCAATGTCTCGTTAACTGGGATCCGACGGACAGAAGCGCGAAGATGATCATCGAACCTTGGAGGGATGTGTTTTCGAAGGGAGAGATGGAAGCATTCCTGATTAAAGCGATTTGCCCTAAGTTGAAGATGGCTCTTCACCTAATGCCACTGGACAATACTAGTTCTGGAATCGGTTTGTAATTGAATAGCTGGTTTTGTAACTTTTCATTTGCTCGCAATTTTTTGACCGAACGGTTTGCTTGTTGGATTGATTCGCTTGTTCATTATCAATTTCATGCTTGATACAAAATTAAGTTTTGATAGTATGCTAAAATTGGCGTGAGGTACTTCTTTATATTTTACTAATCAAGGTGCCAAATGATTTTCATTTAAAGTGTTTTGTATTAATTTAAATAGAAAATTCCTTGAGGTTGAGTGAGCTGTTAAATTATTTCCAGCTTTAATAGAGATTGAAGTTCGATTAATAAATTTAAGTTGTAAGAAGAATTATGACTATGTATTGCAAAATTAGTCTCCTAGTTTTTCTGAAAATTCTTGCGGTTTTTGTCTCTGCATGCAATTTTAAATTGAGTATCCGACGATGAATTTGTTTAAGAACTGCTTCGATCTGTGTTGATCTGGCACGACCTCCTCTCTCTGCACCAGTTGAGTCAGATATTAGTGGCTCACTTCTTCCCCAAATGGATCCAGTGTCTCTGTGTCTGGCTGTCTAACCAGCCCAACTTCGATGAGGTGGAGAAATGGTACAGAGCATGGCGGAATGAGTTCCCTATTCAACTTCTAGCTCTCAACGAAACCAAAGGTCACTTTCATTCAATTTGTGACCATAAAAGCACACTATTAACAGGCTCAAATGACAAGTTTCTTCTTCTTTGGACAGTTTCAAAGAAATTAAGATCCAAATAGGTGGCCCTTCTACGCGAAGCGAATTTTTCATATTTGTATGATTTTTTTTTCTGTAGGCTTGGGTTTCTATTCGAGGTTGTCATTAATAAATTTCGCTTTGAGATATTAGAGCAAGTATTCGCTACCCTACTATGGCAATGAATGTGCGGGAGGACGAGCTCTCACTTCACCTATATATTCAGTTCTACCAAAGCATAATTACTCAAGCTAAGCGTAGTGTTTTATTACCAAGATTTTTAAAAAAGCTAAGTCGCAAGTAAAAGTGTTCATTTGGTGGTACTTTTGGTATATTTCAATTTAATCATATCTAAGCTTATTTATGCGTAAATAATTTAATGGAATATGTTGCTGCTTTATTTTTGGCTAGTGCTATGTCCTGTTTGAAAACAACATTTACTATGAAAATGTATGGGATTTGGTGTTTTTCGTTTTTTTTGCGACGCTTTGGAAAGTTTTTGCACTTTTCGCAGAAATTTCAGTTTTTCTCAAACACTACTTTACCGATTTTCAAAAAAATGGTTAAAATAGAAAACCGGCTCTTGTGCCAGCATATTCTCAAAAAAATGGTTAAAATAGAAAACCGGCTCTTGTGCCAGCATATTCTCGAAAGTTTTACTTGGCCTATTTGTTTTGAGTTTTTTTTATTTTCTCAAAAATTAAATGCACAATTCTGAGATGAGGGGTTCAATCAAAAGAACAAGTTATGTGGATCTCCCTTTCTTAAGCGGCTATTCCTTAAATTCGGTAGAAAAAAATGTATGGCCTCAAACAAGCCCATTTTTTGACATTTTGATTAATTTTAAAACTTTGACTTCTCAAAGCTACCCTGCCAAATCAGTGATAAAGGGCTTAACCGAAAGAAGAAAATCAATTATGCGAATTTTAACTGCACAAGCGGCTATGCCCTGTGTTTTTGAAAGAAAAATATGGCCTTAGAAAATGTCCAAATTTTGAAATTTGCCCGTTTTGTCTTACGTTACTTTTTCAAAAACTAACCTACTGATTCCGAGGTCGATAGTTCATTAGAACTTAGATTTCCCTGAGTAATCTGTTTTAACCTGTTTTTTTTTGTTGAAAAGCTGATATGGACTTTGAAAAAGTTCCTTTTTAATTTTTTATTGTTTTTGATAGAAGTTTCGTCAATTCTCGAAAACTACTTGCTAAATCTCATATTAAGGCCTTAATTCCCATGCTTTAGTAGAGAAAAGTTTATGAACTTAGGAAAAATAAACTTTTTGATCAATTTTTGGAATCTTTCTCACTTTTTTTTTGAAAACTACCGAGCTAAATTCTGAGATCAAAACTTCAATTGAAAGCGCGAGTATTAGATTTCTTTAAATTAGCTGTTTATCCCCTACCTAAGCAGAGAAACAAGAGTTTAGTGTCAAGTCCATTTTTTGAAATTTTTAAATTTACGCATTTCTGTATCAGTAGAATATATGATTAAAGATATTATAACTGGTAGATTCAGCATAAACAGGTAGATTCAGCATAAGCAGATGCGAGGACGTGAGACTCCTAACAACGTGTCGGATATTCAAATCAGGAATATTTAAAAAGTTTTCTTTTTCTCGGTCGAATTTTTTTAACAGTGGCAATTTGATAGAAGTTCTAGCTGCTCTATTGGTGGTTATTGTTAGTAAAATTACAAGCGTTCGTAGTGCAGATATGAGAATATATGTAATACTCCTAATTTCAAGAAAAGTTTTTTACGCTGCCTTTTTAATCGTTTCTTTGTGTTTGCGAAGCGTAGCTTCGCCTCTGGGTTGAATTTGGCTTCAATATTGGAACTAATTGAAATGTACGAGCAAAAGCATGGTCTTCAGTCGCAATAAAGAGAAAATTATTTTCTTCTTCAACTTGAAATTTATAATGAAAAGTAATTTTTTAACTGCCTGTTACTTATTTTTGAAAGATATTTTTTATTAGCCTCTTTCAAGCAAGCAATGGACATGATGACCAGGTCTGTCTCTGGATCATCTGTGATGGGCTACGAGTATGTCACCCCCATTCCACAACATCCAGGACCGCCCACTCACAATATGGGGGGCATGCCTCAGCATCAGTACCACCCATACAACAACAGCGCCCATCACCCGATCTATAACTACAATATGCCAGCTACTGCTGCTGACGGATACGTGCCGCACGTATGTATTTATATGTAAAGGCAAGACAAAATGCGATGTAATTAAACGGTATAATTACGATAAATTAAGTGTCTTCTTAAGCGTTACTAGATGTTTTTCCAGCAAACAAACATGTTAGTCGAGAGATCAGCGGTTCTAACCGCGTAGTCGCCGATTTTCTTGACCTGACATAATCAATGAATCTTATAACCTACATCATAATCGAATCAAATTCTGTCAAATAACACTCTGCATTTGGCGTCTTGTTAATTTTCCTGCTAAGAACAACAAGTATCCGTAGTTCGAACTCGATCAGGACCTGAGCGTTTTGAAAACAAGAAAGTTCAGCATGTGTATATTTTTTGTTTTTTAAGCCTCCTTGTCCCCCCTTTCCACAAATTTCTATCATGTGTCCCCAAGCTTCTTTTTACACTATCGGGCAGCGTAGTGTATTTGTACGAACCTTCCTTTTTTCTAAGCTAACTCGCAAATAAAAGTGTTCATTAAAAGTGCTCACTTATTTGGTTTACTTCTGCTATAATCAAGATCTGTAGTATTAGAAGTTTCATAGCATCTATTAGCTGCTTTTTTGTGGCTAGTGTTTGTTAATAAGTATAAGTAAGAGTTCGTGGCTGAGTGGATAGTGTGTGATACTCATAATCTCTGTTGCAGATCGAATCTGAGATGTAGCCAAATTGTTACTAATTCGAGGCTTATTTCTTCTTTTTCCTATAGCACTTTATAGAGCTACTTTTTATCATGTTCTTGCGTATCTTTGCGAAGCGAACCTTCACCTCTGTGTAGATAATTGTTTCCCCCAATACCTCAGTTTTAGTCTTTTCCACGCGAGAGCATGTGTATTTGTTACTTGGGAAACAGACTTTTTCACCGTACACGACTATTTCAATTTTGTAAGAAATTGACTGCTTTTTTAATGAAATTCCATTTACTTCGAAGCCGTTCTTATTTGCTCTGGTAGTCGACAGAGTTAGAATCCCGGTCTGTCCTTGTTTTTTACACTTGCGAGCGTAGTGTAATAGTACGACTATCCTTTTTTCAATCTAAGTCGCAAATATTGGTGCCACTTTTGGTGGCACCTCTACGGCTTTTTGATAGAATGTGCTTTGACAGTGGATTATGAAAAATTAACAGAGCTGATGTATTTTTATTTGTTGGAAGAACCGAAAAAAGCTATTTGTTTCAAGCAACTTCAATCATAAAAATATGACTTCAAGAAATTTTTTTAACTCAATTTATCTCGCAATTTTTTTGAAATGCTTAATTTTTTTATACAAAATTAGGCTTTAAGTATTCCAATTTATTACATGCAAAGTTAATGTGGAGGCATTCAGCTTGTTGTTTTCGAACTTTTTTTTTGCAAAATTGTGTCTATCTGTATTTGGTGAATTTTTGCTGCATCGCATAGGCAATTTTATAAGCATATATAGCTGCTTTAATTGTTTGTCGATATTTTAGCGTTCATGACCGAGAGGTCAGATTGTGAGACTCCTAATCTCGAAGTCGCAGGTTCGAATCACATACGCAGCGAAGTTTTATCAAATCGAGGCTTTTTTCTACTTTCTTTTACTTCACTTTATGAAGCTACTTTTTTGTCGTATTCTCGCTAATGTTTGCGAAGCGCAGCTTTGCCTGTATAAATCTATTGAGTTAGAGATTTCTGGGACTTTCGTTTGTCTGCTTGTTTTTTGTCAGTTTACTTTCCAAAGCATAGAAATTCTTGAAGGATAAGGGGTTTTCCAAGCTTTTACACATGTGCAGCGTAGATTTATTGTACGATGCAATTAATTTTTCAACCTAAGTAACTACTTTTGGTTTGCAATGAATTAACACAGTTAATGCTTTTTAAATGCATCAATTGCAGTGAAAAAACTAATGGTTCCTAGCTAAAAAGAATAATAAGTACCCTTGGGACAAGCAAGGTTGTTGCAGCCGGGTGCTAGGCTTTTTGCTCCCGTGAACAACTTTCTGTGTGATTTTGCAGATATTTGTCTTGCTTCCTATTAAATTCAAAGACAATCAACCAGCCAGCGCATCGAGACTCCTTCCCACTTAGGGCTTAGAGGTAACGCGGTCGCCTTTGTACCCTTAAGTTCGGGGTTTCGTTTCACAGCTGGACCTTGTTAAGAGTCGATGAACGCAGATCAGACTCTTACATAGGTCGCAATAATTTTTTTGTTTTTTTTTCAGGAAAAGTATTCAAATTTTTTCAAGCTCAAATTTACTTTTTTTCGCGGCTTGACTTTTAAGTTTGTCTTAGGTTCAGATCATTGACTTTGGCAAAAAGGATTTCAAACTCCACTATCGAACAGCGTTAGAATGTTTTTTTTTGTCGGCTATGATCCTGGATTTTATTGTAGCAATAAACAGGTCGAAACCTTTAATCAGCCGTGTGCTGCTTTTTCAGGTAAAAACCTTGTTTAATCAAGCTCGAATTTGTTTTTTTTTTGCGGTTTGTGGCTTAGCTTTTCAGGATTAGCTCAGTTTCATTTTCTAATTTGAAGGCAATTTATACCAATGGAAACGGCATGTGGCGCTAAGAAAAATGCGAGTTTTTGTTTCGAAAACGAATTTTTATTTAAAGATTTTTCTGCGGAATTAAAAAAAAGCTGTTGATCTTGTTTCATCTAAAGATCTTCGACGTGATGTATTTAGTCTCCGAAAGTCAAAAATTGTGTAAAAAATGACTTTTTTCTTTCCTTGAAATCCTTGGCGTGTTTGCAATGTTTAAGAGTCGATAAGCGTAGTTCAGAATCTTGTTTATGTCGTGATTTTTTGTTCGTTTTTTTTCAGAAGTCAAAATTTGTTCAGGCTCAAATTTACTTGTTCGTGGTTTACTTGTTCTATTTTTTTTAGTTGTAAAGAACGCATACTCCACTATCGAACAGCAAAATTGTAAAGGTCTGGAAAAACGTGATCGACTTCTAGTTCTGGGTTCATGTTATCAAAAAAACGTCGATCATTCATTCAAGTATTTCACAGAGCTTTAAGGCCATATATGTTCTTTTGAAGTTCGAATGATGAGTTTTTTTTTAAAGTAAATCAGTATTTTTTTTCGGTTTGCTTGCAGCCATTGATTTTTTTCCAACTGTCTGTTGGCTATTTTAAGTTTTTAAGCGTGAATGAAGAGTGAATTAAGTTTTCTTGAACTTGTGCTATTTCAAGTTCATTTCAAATTAATTCGCTAATTGAAGGCAGATTATACTCTCAATATAAAACGGCAACTGTCGCAGAAAAGCGTGCATGACTTGTGCTTCAAAAGTGGGTTTTAGTTTCAATATTTCCCAGTTACCTTTTGATCCAGCTTTCTTGAATTGGGATTATTTTTCATCATTGAAGTCCTAACTGGTAGTTGATCTTGTTTCAGAGCATCTTGCGACTGCAACAGCAATCAGGTGTCGACTCCTCGTCTGCATCTATGATGCAATTGGACACTTTCCGAGACCTAGTGGAACGAAGATGCTCGGAACTGAACCTTCTGTTCGCACCTGTTCCAGGAGTATTTCACGATTCGCGCCAGGTGTACACTTTGGGAACTGTCAAAGTGTGCATTGACAAGGGAGTCCTGTTTGTGAATAAAGGGGGAGGGGGTACTAAATGGCAGCCTATGGCACTACCCGCTGTGCTGAGTTACGCGAAAGATAGATAAATAAAAACTGGAAACTCTTATTTGTTTGTTGCTGGGAGAACTTATCTTCTGGCTTCTCTGATGTAACTATTGTTGCGTTTATAAAAAGGGTTAAATGTTTATTTTGGAAGCTATTTTTAATTAAATCACACTTTTTGAACGTTTTTATGATAAAGATCTCAAAACAGGAATCTTGAATATTTAATATCTTGAATATTGTTCCTTGCTTTATTTGAAATTAGTGAAACAGTAGTTAAATTAAACCAAGTTTCATGTACATCGAAGGTTTTTGTATTAAACTAACTTAGCTAAAAATTTGGATCATATTTGGTGTATAGTTTTGGACCGTTAATATGGTTCCTGATGAGAATTTGGGCATTCGTGATGTTAGATGGCTACAGATCGTCTGGTGACACGGTTGCTTCGATCGATTTGAGAGTCGGATCCTAAACAGAAAATTCCAAGAGTCATCCGCATTTGCTTGCGAACAAAGCGTTTTTAAGAGTAATAAAACGTAGTGAGTACTATTATGTAGGTCTTGGTGATTTTTTTCAGGAAAAAGTCTTGAAGTTTAATCGTCTCACTTGATTTTTCGTGATTTGACTTGTGATTTCTTTTTAAGTTCAGTACATTTTCATTGTTAAAATGAAGACAAACTCAACTATCGAACAGCAAAAGTGTAAAGAACAAGAAAAACGTGATCGGCTTCTGATTTCGAAACTGGAAATTAATCAGATTTTCCAGCGAAATAAAAGTTAATCCAGTTTTCTCAAATTGCTTTTTTTAACAAAAAAAAGTACATTATAAATCGTTTTGCAAAATTGCAGAGC